CCCATGTGAAAATGACATCTGTCTGAATTTGTAGAGCACATCTCATCAATGTACCAGCACCGTTTAAATGTTTCCTAGCACAAAATATAAGTGAGGAGGATATAGGTAGTGATGGCCCTATGACACCCGAGGCTCCGACACATGCGCGGTCATGGGTGGACTGGAGCCAGTCCCAGCCGGCATCGGGCATACACCTTGGACAGGGTCTGGAACATGGAGTTGCTTATTGTGGGGCTCTGAAGATGTATGACGCCATGGCCTGACACCATGGGGCCAAATAATGGGTAAACATCATTTAACTCGTATATACTCGTATACTTGGATTACTGTATAGTGTTATGTATGTAAATGCTGTGTGTGTGTGTGCATGCGCATGTAAAGTATGCATATACACTGAACAAAATTATAAATGAAACACTTGGTTTGCCCCCATTTTTTATGAGCTGAACTCAAAGATCTACGACTTTTTCTATGTACACAAAAGGCCTATTTCTCTAAAATGTTGCTCACAAATTTGTCTAAATCTGTGTTAGTGAGCGTTTCTCCTTTGCCAAGATAATCCATCCACCTCACAGGTGTGGCATATCAAGATGCTGATTAGACAGCATGATTATTGCGCAGGTGTGCCTTAGGCTGGCCACAATAAAAGGCCACTCTAGAATGTGTAATCTGCTCAACTTCTTCGTGTGTCAAACACACCAGGCCAATAAAGCTGATTCTGATTACAGAGACAAGTGCCCAGAGATAACTGTTGTGAATTGGCACAAAACAAATATCAAAAATCTCCTCTAGTTTTTGATATTGACCTGTGGAGATGCTGTCTGTGCTTTGTTTATGTGTGGTGTGATGCAGTTCAGTGAGAAAGCCCATCATGTGGGTTTTTGTAACTTTAGATGATGAATTGTTTGTATCATTCCTTTTACTTTAAATACTCAGTTTGTCACACTCATGATTCCTCAACCAGGTGCAGGCTAATCATCCTGAGAGGAATCACCTGAATGTAATGTTAAGAGGCAGCTACTCAGTGAGGTTGTGACACTGATGGAGGACCGATGGTCAAAACAATGTCTTCATCTAAAATAAGGGGAATTCTTGTCATTTAGGGCAGTCCTATTTTGTGATCATTGGATAATACTATCAGGACAACACACCAATTTTCTGAATGCCGTGGAAGCACATATGAAACCTTTGTTAGGGTGAGTGTGACTGACAAAACTTCAGTCAACATTAGCCTGATTCAAGCTGTTGGACTTTGTTTCCTTCGGACTGTCGGTTTAGTGTGTGCGTCTTGTGATGGAAAATTTATATTAGCATCTTTATTGGCATGTTAGCTGTTGCAATGCAGTTTTTTATATATAGATATTTGTGTGCTTGTGAAACTAGACAACTTCTGTGTCAAAGTGTCTTTAGTGAAAAACGTGAACTTGTATGGATGTTAAACCAAACAGCTTTTTTCTTGTGTGACAGATGTTTCCTTAAACCTATATATGACCTTAACTGATCGAAACCACAAGCAACATTCATGTTTATGTATAAAAGGAAATGTAGCTCTTTGCTCTGTGAGCTTCTCCTTCAGACTGTTTTAACACTCTGTTCAGAGATTGTTCCTTCCTGCAGGAATAAATGTACAATGACATTCAGGCTGATGTCAAGTCTTTTTATTTTGCACTCACCAAGCCTTGATAAGACAATTTTTGCTACAACAGTCTCTGTGTGTGTGGTGTCTTGAGGCAGATGAACCCTTGATAGTTGACATTTGGCTTGGTGTGAAAATAACTACGACGACACCAATCGTTTTTTGTTGATTTCATTTTTCTTATTATAAATCTTGACATGAGAATGATCACACATGTCCATAAGTAAATAAGTTATTTTAAGTACACATCACATTTTGAAACCTTAAAAGTGCTTTTACCGTCAACAATAAAAACACTTCATATACTGTAAATGACTGGAAAATGCACATCGCTGCATGGTTATGTGAGAAGAAGAGCTTGTACACCAGTAATCAATGTTAATGCATCAGATGATTTTAGCTGGACCAAATAACCTTTTGAGGTGTTTAGTAATTTCTTTCATTTTGAGTCCATATATGAGTGGATTAAACAAAGGATGGTACAAAACTATTTGTAATGTCATTACTAAATGTGCAGGTTTTGGAAAATTGGATTTTACTCGAGCTATAATGATATCGTATGCACTCAAACAGAAGAAACTGATTAGAACCAGCAGGTGGGGTAAACAGGTCTCTGCTGCTTTTTTCTTGACTTCTCTAGAACTTTGATAGGCTATAATAAGTATTTTTGTGTATGTGAAAACTATGAAGAACAGAGGTAGTACTGCCATATCTAATAAAGCAACAAAACCATATATAGTAATTACTCTTGATCCTACACAGTGAAGCCTGTAAATGGCATTGTTACAAAATATTCCTTTCAAAGTAAAGTTACACAGTTTAGTTTGAGCACTCAGTATTGTTGGCACTGTAGTATGACAAGCAGACACAAACCAAGCTAAAGCCAGGAAAATAATCACACTGGTTTTCTTCATGATAGTTGGATATTGCAGAGGTTTACATATAGACACATATCTGTCATAGGCCATGACTGCCAACAGTAAGAACTCTGAGCTGCCTAAAAAGTAAAATATAAAAAACTGGAAGAGACAGGCTGAATATGATATGACTTGTTGTTCAGATACAACATCGGTCAGGATTTTGGGGTAGATACCATTGCTGAAAAGAAGAGAGTTCACTAACAAAGCTGCAATGAAAATGTACATAGGCTCATGGAGGTCTTGGTGGTTCCAGATCAGGTACAAAACAGTAGAATTACTGCAGACTATTAGAATATATACTGTAAACATGATCAGAAAATAAACACCTCCATATTTGTTAACTTGCACATACCCATCAAGAGTTATAGATGTAAGGTTTAAGTCATCCCCCATTTAAGTTGTCTATAACTAAATGCTGAAGAATAAAACAGGTAGATTACATAACCAGTGCACATGAACAGTAATTCAAAAAGAAGTCTCATTATAGCAGTTACACCAGTATTCCACCGATACTGAAGTGTCTCATTCATTCACAGAGAGCTGACCTTGATGTACTGCATGTTCATCTGCAACACTTAGAAAGTGGAACTGTTTGGGGATGTGGAATGTTTTTTATAAGCTAGTGTCAGCCTCCATGGATCTCATTAAAATCCCTGTGAAAACAGATTCTAATATGTGAGGAACTTCATCAAGCTATAGAATCCTTGTGTTTGAGGGACATTTGATCTTTGTACCTGACCATGTAGCCCATTATTCTGTCTTTACAACTCAAAATACCTGCTGCAGCAGTTCCATGAGAACAGAGGCTGGTGGATCATTCTCTTTACAACACGGGTCAGTCTAGATCCAATTCCAAAGGTCCTGCAGCCAATGTTTATTGAGTTTGACTTCAAACTAACTGGGCCTTTTTCTTTGCTCACAGGAAAACAACATGCAGCTCTGTGCATCAGGTCTGAACTAGCAGTCGGTCTGGAAGAACATTTCAGTTTCCTGTTGCAGCCCCAATCAGTGTTTTATTCACTGTGAATTATTTGTACACAAAGCCCATTTCCACCACATAAGCCATTTTCCTTGAAGGTCTGGGTGCTCTCTCAATCTGCGTGATATGTTCATGTGCATCTGATATGTCAGTCAGATGTAAGATAGATTTGACAACTGTTTGATGGTTCTTAGTTTAATTCATCAGTTGAAACACATTTTTTTTATGGGTGAGACACCAGCTAAGAGGATGATTGTCTGGCAGGAGAATCCAGCAAATCTTTATCTAGCGTCTGTGAGAATGTCTGGTGGTAAAATTTAAATGTCAATCAATACTTCAGCCAAATGTAAACTTGACCGCAAGAGTGCACTTTGCTATGTGCCGTGTTGATTTCAATTGAAGTCACACAAATCGGAGAAACCCAAGGAAAGGCATATAAAGCAGCCCCCCCCCACTCCTGGTACAGGCAGGGTGAGCATGACTATCAGTGCTTCAGTCAGTATGAACCTGAATCAGGGTTTTAGTGTATGTCCATGGCTGACGACTGTGTGCATAAAGAGGAAATAACTACCTGACAACAACAATACAGTTTATTTTAGTTGTTTTCTTCGCATTGTAAATGTAGTGGTGTGTTTTTGCTAACAAACCTGCTGCTTCCACTTCATCTAAAGGCCGCCTCTGACATGAAAATCCTTACACATGCTCCAGCACCGAACGCTACAGACAACAAGCAGTTTTATCAATGAAGTCACAGCTTGAAGGGAACAGTAATGATTTTATCTGGTGTCACTATGTGTAGCAGTGGAAGACAAACAGCTGGGAAAAGTAAAAACTGCTTTTATACAAAAAAACTTGGTTTAAGTCCACAATTGTAAATGACACAAGTTCAGTAAAATGAAAAAAAAAAGCATTTCTATAATACAGGGCTATATACTACTTATGACTTAACACATTGTGCATCGGCATTACTTTTAAGTTGCTGAAATAGTGTCTGTAAACATTTAAATCTTTATCTTATGACCAAACTAAAGCTGCCTTCTTTTGTTTTTCAAGTCAGTATTGTGTAACTTAGCACTGCAGCTCAGCTGACCCTGCTGTTTCCTTGTGGGGAGCGAGTTCAGAGCCTAGAAGCCAAACATTGTTTACATATTCTACACAGACATAATCATCTATTCCATGTGAGTTTGCTGACTGAGGTGTATATCATTACAAGGGCTCAGGATGTGTACGGTTAATTTAAGATAAAATGAAAAACAAACAATAATTTACAGGACTTGACGGATTTTGAAGTAATGTCAAAAATCGATTGGTCATCATCGCATTTTTGAAGCTGACAATGCTGGTTACTGTGTCTTAGGAATCAAATGAAATCCTGGCATTAAATACTTTCCAGGGACCAGACAAATCTCATTTCTGCATTGTTGTTACAGGAGAAGTTACCAGTATTGTCATATTAGTTTTAGTTTTACATTTTATCACCACAGAACAACCTCTTGAGGTGTTTAGAAATTTCTTTCATGTTTAGTCCATATATAATTGGATTAAAAACAGCATGACACAAAGCTAATTGTAACGACATTATTAAACGTGCAGTTTTTGGAAAATCGGATTCCAGTCGACCTGCAATAACAACATATGCTATCAAAATAAAATAGTTGATTAAAACCAGCAGGTGAGGAACACAGGTCTGTGCAGCTTTTATCCTGACTTCTCCACTGCTGTGATAACATATTATAAGTATCCTGGTGTATGTGAAAACTATGAAGATCACAGGAACAACATTAAGAATTAGGAATATTAGCACACCATATACAGATATTGCTTTTGAAGGCACACAAAACAGTTTGTATATTGAGTTATTACAAAAAATAGCTTCCAAAGTAAAGCTACAGAGCTGCTGATTAGCAGTCATTATTGTTATTCCGATATCCAGAAATGCAGGCAACAGCCAAGATAAAGCCAGAAAGATACTTATAGTGGTTTTCCTCATGATGGTCAGATACTGCAGAGGTTTACATATAGACACATATCTGTCATAGGCCATGGCTGCCAACAGTAGGAATTCAGAATTAGATAAAGCATAAAACATGAAATATTGAACAAGACAGGCTCGATAATATATGATCTGTTTTTCAGATAAAAAGTCAACCAACAGCTTTGGGTAGATAACAGCACTGAAAAGAACAGAGTTCAGTAACAAGGCTGCAATGAAAATGTACATAGGCTCATGGAGGTCCTGTTGGTTCCAGATCAGGTACACAATAGCAGAATTACTGCATAATATTAGAATATATATTGTAAAAACAACCATAAAATAAAGGTATCTGTATTTGTGAAGCTCCACATGGCCACCGAAAGTTAAATATGTTACATTTGATTCTTCCTCCATTAAGAAAGTTGAATATAAAACAATAATTATGAAGCCAGGCAGACAATAATACAGTAACATCTGAAACTGAGAGAACTTTTACTTTGAAGATTACAGTAATATTTCCTCTATATCTCCAAATCTCAGAAAGAGAACTGTCTGAGCCTGTGAAATGTTTTTATCAGACTCCTTCAGCCTCCATGGATCTCATTAAATTCCCCATGAAAATAGATTCTAATATGTGAGGAACTTCATCAAGCTATAGAATCCTGGTGTTCGAGGGACATTTGATCTTTGTACCTGACCATGTAGCCCATTATTCTGTCTTTACAACTCAAAATACCTGCTGCAGCAGTCCTCTCTGTTCCATGAGAACCGAGGCTGGTGGATCATTCTCTTTACAACACAGGCCAGTCTAGATCCAATTCCAAAGGTCCTGCAGCCAATGTTTATTGAGTTTGAATTCAAACTAGCTACGCATCTTTCTTTGCTCACAGGAAAACAACATCCAGCCGCGCATCAGGTCTGAGCTGGCAGTTGGTCTGGAATAACATTTCAGTATCCTGTTGCAGCCCCAATCAGTGTTTTATTAGGCCTTCACGCTGGCAATAGCCATGGCTGGAGGCATTTGTCTTTGCCCATCTGTCCATTCAACCTGTTCTTGTGAATGCAATAGGACAGTAGTGCCTTGAGGGAGAGTCTTCAAATTTGGCACAGACATCAACTTGGACTCATGAAAAAATATGTTTAGAATTTTTTGGGGTCAAAGGTCAAGGTCAGTGACCTCATGTCTCTTCCATTCCCATGTATTTGACTAGTTGGCAGTGGCATACAACTACAAAGTGATAGCTTGAGTTCATCATAAATTTGTATACAAAGCTCATTTTTCACCCCATAGACCATTTTCCATGAAGGTCACCCTGCTCAGTGTGCTCTTTCAATCTATTTGATATATTCATGTCAGCCATATAAAATTTATCTTTTCATAAACATTTTCTTAAATTTAATAGCATGTGGGAGACCTGTCCAGGGTAGACAGAGTGTAGTAACATTATAAGGTGCAGCCTCTTGCCCAATGACAGCTGGAATTGGCTCCAGCCTCCCATGGCCCCATGGATGGTGGGGGAGAGTTGGGTCAATGTTTGGGGAGGAAGACTTATCTAAGGGTCGCATGAAGAGTGCTGTTTTGAGGAATGCTAAAGATAACCACCCCCTGGATGGTCTGTTGTTATATTGCCCAATAGAGTGTTTTAAGTTGTACAGTGGGTTTAGTGCTGTGGGGACTATGGGAAGCTACAGTGCTGGGGTTTTTTTACCTGACAAATGGTCTGCTGTAATAACCAAAAATAAGATAATGATTGTGACTGACTAATGATTGTGTATCGGGGTTTTTCCATTATAGGAATCTACCAAAACGTGTCACAGGTTCTACGTTTGTTTCCACTACACTCAGTCCACTTTGGAGGTTGATAACAGTTTGGAGGTGTGTTCTGGGAGCTAAATTTCAGCACCCCTCAGGAGGTCAAGGACCAAGGCCATGTGGGGGAAGGGTGTGTGTGTGTGTGCACAGAGCAGTCGCCGGTGATTGGTAAAATGTCTGCGTCTTCACACCTCAAGCATTAGCATTACAAGCACTGTGTGTAAACACACAGCTGACTGTATGTGTGACTGGGGAGCAGACCCTCCCGTCTCTAAACAGAGACCGACAGAGAGAAAATACAGAGGCTACGCCTTCTTTAGCTCCCCCACGTACATCAGGCAGGGGTGGTGGCCTGGCATCACTTTTTCCACCTTATCCACTGCTGGGTGCAATGGTTTATTGTCCTCCTAAATTTAATAAGGACTTTATTCAGGAATTTTCTGACCGCTTGAGTTTTATCTTGCCAAAGTTTGACAAGTTTTTAATACTTGGTGATTTTAACATTCACATTTGTTGCCCTGATGATCCATTGTCCAAAGACTTTTTAAATGTTACTGACTCTTTTAATCTCACTCAGTCGGAGAATGGCCCTACACAATTCCTACACACACTGGACCTTGTGATCTCTCATGGACTGCCTGTTTCCAATACCAAAATATGTGACTCTTGGTTTTCTGATCACTTGCCTGTTTTATTCAATGTTGCTGCTCTGTTACTGGTAGACAAACCTTTTATTTCTGCTGCTTTTAGATGTACTGCCACTTCTTCTACAGCAGGAGAGTTTTCTATTCACTTTAAAAACTCTGGTCTGTATTTGATGGATGATGTCTCCTCCTACATGAATCCTGAGGAACTATCAAGCTTATTTACGACCACTTGCCAGAATATATTGGATTTCATCGCTCCTCTTTGATGTAGACCAATCAAGTTGCAAGTAGTGCCCTGGCTAAACGACCCTACCCAGGCACTTAGACAAAGATGTCGGCAAGCTGAATGCAAATGGAAGATGGATAAACTTCACATTTCTCTCCGCCATTTCTGGGTTTGCCTCTCTGACTATCAGAAGCCGGTAAAATCTGCCAAATCAAGCTATCTTTCCAACATTGTGGTTAGTAATTGTTAGATTCTAACCTCTTTGTTAGAAATTAACCCAATTCTTTTGTTGGAAGCACGAGAAGTGACGACAGGAGAGGACTGTTTAAAATCAGCGGAAAGTTTACTGCATGTTTGATCACAGGTAGGCCTTACAGTGCTGGGATCAGAGAGACAGCGCTCCTGCAGGAGTTCCATCCACTGACTTCGAATTAAGGTCTTACAATACATTTTATTTTCTTGGGCTGCTCCGCCCTAAACAAAGGTACAACAATTCATGCATTGTAATCCTATTGGTCATTTGGTGTGAGCAGGAGCTCACACCTCCTTGCTGGAAGGTGATCTACACTAGGTGTGTGTGTGTGTGTGTGTGTGTGTCTCAGGTGGTGAGCCCCCGGCCTCTGCAGGGCATCCCAAGACAAAGCAAAGCTTGGAATATGCTAAGTGGGTCAAGGTGTGATTGTAAAACAGGCCTTTGCTAAAATGTAAATAGGCTGTCTGGTCTCAAAGAGATGCAGACATCTAGTCTCTACACAGAAGTTACAGCATTCAAAGTGGGCAGATTCTACTTGATTCTCATCAATACAATTGAAAGATGTATAAGCAAGGAATATAAATGTATTAAGAATAGCCAAAGCTCAGTAGTTCTGGACAATCATAAATACAGCTGTAATATGCATAAACAAGATAAAGGGATGAAAGGTAACTAAAGGTGTTAGAAGTAACTAAAGCTGATAAAGTAACTAGAGTCTATAAGACTCAATTCTTACATAATTGTCACAAATGTCAGGTCTTGTTCAGCACAATTAATTCTGTTATCAACCCATGTAACCTTGCTTCTCATACCGAGGCATCTGTAGCAGTATGTGAGGGTTTTGTTCAATATTTTACTGATAAAATTATTAGCATGAGGCAGTGTTCCAGTTATAATAATTCTGAACAAGCTGATATTCAGTAAAGAATCTTTATTGTCATTATGCATAGCACAACAAAATTTTTTCCGACAGCTCTTGACTTAAAAGACACATTATTTACATAACACAAAATTGTATATATAAAAATATGAACAAATAAAAAGGGATGTATGGGACCTAATCATGTCAGCAGCATGTTAGCAGCAAAAGGGTGTAGTAACATTATAAGGTGCAGCTCAGTGCAAATCTCAGTCTTTAGGAAGAGGTGTGAGCATGAGTGTGTGTGCCTGCAGAGGTCCAGTGTTCTGTCTGGGTTTGTCTTTATATACTTGTGCGAACCGACCCCTGATGGAACACCTTTCTTGTGTGGACCTTTTGGGTGGCCCACACAAGGAAAACGCTAGGATAGGCTCTGTTGTACCCGATACTTTTTACCACGCTAACTCTGAGAGACGAAGCAGTCCAAGTAACTTCAAAACAGTGCTGATTTATTCAATGAATACAGGTAAAAATTAGCATTACACGCTCAGGTATCTTGCACCTCCAACATGCATGCAGTCAGCTGAAAGATGAAAGACCCCGAACCACAACAGGCCTATACATTATATCACTTCAGGCTAACCCCATTCTACACAGGAACGCCAAATCGTGACGTCTTGCCAGGGCCAGCTTTGCAGCTGACCAGAGCAGTAGTCAAAGCATGAGGAAAATCAATATGTGAATGTCTGTTGATTATGTGGTGTGTAGCTAAAAACATTCTAACACGACCTCTAGTGACATGTCATGACATTAAACATAAGAAAATATGGCTATGGCTACAGTTATACACATCACAATAATAATATTAAACATCCTGTCTTCTAACAGTCATCAACTTTCTATCTAGTTATCCTTGACCATAAGCAACCTGCAGCAACTCATGAGAATGACTAAGCACTTAACAGCCTGAGCTAGACATCCTGTCTACTCTAAACATTTCTAATACATCAAGTATCTAACCAATATCTATCTGACTAAAAATACCTAACAAAAGTGTATTTAATGACTGTCTATAGGTTACTATCTCGCCCTCACCCTTCTGCAACACCTCAATGTTATGATAATAATTTCCCTTCCTACAAAGTTGCTCAAATGTTTGACGACACTTCTTTGATGCTGATGGAAAACACATTGCTAGGGCCACTTCTGTTTCACTGCTGTGTTTCCGCCTCAGATGCCGTGCCATTTTACTTTGTGGTTTTTTGCAGTATACACAGTAATGACACTTGTCCCACTTTCTTTTTTGACCCACCA